AAAAATATAAGCGCACACAACGAGAATACGTATACTAAAGTACAGGAAATCAGTCTTAGATTAATGCATTGCATAAATATTATGCATTGAATTTAGGATGAAAATTGAGGGAAGTGTGGTAATATGAAAGAAAATTAAAAGATGAGAGGGAAGGTTGCTGAGATGAGTTGTTCATGAAGAACAAATAAAGGAGAGTATTTTGAGTAAGAGAATGTATGAGTATAAGGTTGATGGAAGGTAAGAGAGGATGACTAATTAAGAGTTGGATGGTGAATATGAGATCATTATAATTAAGTGCTAAACCCGTAAGGATCACACATGTGAATATAAAAGATATATAGAGGTCAGGGCTTGAACATCAACAAGACACAAGTGAGCATGTTAAGTTAGTTATTATAAGTGACTAATTTTGAGATTTGGCAGAGTGTTAGAGTACAAGCATAGTACAGTAAAGATTCATGATAAATAGTAGCCAGATCTGAGTTTTTTTTGAGGATAGTAAGTAGAAGTACAGTATGTACTCTGAATGGCATCAATCCTTTCCTACCTGAGATGGGCCAAGCTTTCAAAGTACCAGCCAAACAGAAAAAAGATACTCACTTCCGGAACATTTTCAGCCATCCGGAGCATCTCGATAACATCCTCTGGTAATCCAGAAACACCCTTGAAAACAAAACAATCATAAAAATAAAATATAAAATATTCAGGTGAGAATGTTTACCTGTTAGTAACATAAACCATTTTATTTATTTTATTATCACACTGGCCGATTCCCACCAAGGCAGGGTGGCCCGAAAAAGAAAAACTTTCACCATCATTCACTCCATCACTGTCTTGCCAGAAGGGTGCTTTACACTACAGTTTTTAAACTGCAACATTAACATCCCTCCTTCAGAGTGCAGGCACTGTACTTCCCATCTCCAGGACTCAAGTCCGGCCTGCCGGTTTCCCTGAACCCCTTCATAAATGTTACTTTGCTCACACTCCAACAGCACGTCAAGTATTAAAAACCATTTGTCTCCATTCACTCCTATCAAACACGCTCACGCATGCCTGCTGGAAGTCCAAGCCCCTCGCACACAAAACCTCCTTTACCCCTTCCCTCCAACCTTACCCAGTCCCATGGGCCTAAGTATCATCGTAAGTTTTATTCTCCTATGTGCAGGTTATTTGTGTGTTGTTCCAGCCACCGTGTTACACCTTTTTACTCTATAACGAGTGAATAAGATTGGACTAATTAAGCACATTACATTTCCAGTGTTTCTAATTCATCAGTATTTTACAATTCTTTAAATCATCTGGCAGATTATTCCACATTTTTGGTGACTTTATTGGCATAGGAGTTTCTTTAGAGGTTCAGCGCTACACAAGGAATATCATAAAGATACAGGGAATCTTTCCAGTGTGATGCCTGTGTTTTCTGTTACAGATTTCCAGGAAATGTCATAAGTCAGCATCAGCAAAACAAAGCAGGTTTCTAAACATGTAGCAATAGTCTGTTATCTTTCTGATAGCTGCTTTTGAGTGATAACTGGTCTGAGGTGGGTAGCCAAAGTAGATCACCAGGCACAAAATTCCATGATATATGGGTAAAAGATTAGATAGTAGTAGTGTTAATAGCACAGACTGGAGAGAACACCTACAGTTTTTGATACTTTTTTGGTATGTGCTGGATATGAGCACTCAGTTTAATTTGTTATCATAAGGAAACAATGACACCGAGGGGAAGTGGAGAAAAATCCTTTCTCCATAAGCCATGTGTCATAAGCAACTAAAATACTGGGAGCAATGATCTAGTAACCCCTTCTCCTATATAAATTCCTAAATGTAAAAAGAAAAGCTTCATCAAGTTGGTTCTTCTTTTGGGTCACCCTGCCTTTGTGGGAGACAGGCAGTGAGCTTAAAAAAAAAAAAAAAAAGAATTGCTAGTTTAAAAATACAAGTCCATACACCAAAGGTTAACTTACTACAATGTGTACTAAGGCAGCTTTTTTTTTCTGCATTCAATGTTCTGAACACTGAGTTGCAAATAAATTTACAAGTAAATTGTTCATGAGCTGGGGACCTACTGTAAATTTATCATTATAAATTTACGAAGTAACCCCTACTCCTCTGTATGTTACTAAAGTTAAAAAGATAAACTTGTGTTTTTCTTATTGGGCCACCCTGCTTCGGTGGGATATGGCTAGTTCATTGAAAGAAGAGTACCATGCTATACTCTGTGGGAATGGTTGACGTATTTAAACTTTATTTTTGTTTTTTCAACAAGTCGGTCGTCTCCCACTGAGGCAGGGCAACCCAAAAAGAAAGAAAATCCCCAAAAAGAAAATACTTTCATCATCATTCAACATTTTCACCTCACTCATACATAATCACTGTCTTTGCAGAGGTGCCAGGTACAACAGTTTCGAAGCATATATAAAGATACACAACATATCCCTCCAAACAGCCAATATCCCAAACCCATCCTTTAAAGTACAGGCATTGTACTTCCAATTTCCATTACTCAAGTCCGACTATATAAAAATAACCGGTTTCCCTGAATCCCTTCACTAAATATTACCCTTCACAGTACTATACTGAACTTACATCTTGAAACCACAATACTGGAAAAATTATTTCCCGGAGTCTGGCTGCCGGTTTGACTTCTGGAACATGAGGCACAGCAATGTTTATTTGTAAACGAGCCTGTGCTCTGAGAGGGCTTCCTGTACGCTGTAAAACGAAAAATAGTTAATTACATATTTATTCAATTAAAACGTACGTGGGCAATCCACAGAAAGTAGCAATAAACAAAAAACAATGAGTTACCATAGAAAAATGACTAATTCTTAGCGTTTGACTTCATATGAATTTCACCTAGTTTATGAAATGACACTGATATCAAGGTAGAGTACTGTAGATATTATGGAATATTAGAATATTACTGTAGGTATTATGGAATATTAGGAGTCACTGAATCCATTAAATCCTCTAGTCTTATGATGCATGTCCATCCACTTGGCCAAAATTGTTAGGTTTCATTCTTAACCCACTCATGTGCTCCACAGCATAGGAGATATATAATTATTATTCCTGCATGCATCCCTAAAGTACCCCCATCATATCTGTCCTTAATTAGGGCTTTTGCTGCCTCAGCCACATTTCTTCTATGACTGAACCTACCAGTTTTGTTCAAAAATTCATCATTAGTCATGCATCCCAGGTATTTAAATTGCAACAGATATCCTTCACACTGATTTAACATTTAAAATATCCATAAGTTTCTAACAACGGCCTATTGACTCATGAAATCGTAATGACGCGATCGCGGGTTCTATCCCTGCCCGTGGTATGGTTTAATGGCCTATTGTTCATTCTTCACTTCACTATTTTGAAATTGGTATATTTTGAAATTTGTGTGAAATTGGCCAAATTACCAATTTCTGATAACTTCATTGGATAGTTGAAATAGTTGACTGGGTGGTTTGTTGTGCTCAATCAATAAAATGAAAGGCATACTAATACTAGCAAAATAGCTATGACTTTGGTCGAGTGGAACAATGTAATTGGCCTAAAATAGGACTCAAAGTGGGTGAAATTGCTGATGCATAAATACTGCTGACACAGCAAAATTTGCAAAAGTGTAATTTCGTCAAATTTCCACCAAATTTTGTACTTTTTGTTTTATTACCCTAAAAAAAAAAAGAGAAAAAAAAAATCCATATCCGGGGTCTGGACACTGAAAGGGCTAACATCTGCCACCTAATTACCTAAAACACCTAGCATTCCAGGATAGCAGGAAAATCTCACATTTTGTTTTTAACCCTTTCAGGGTTTTGGCCATACTAGTACGGCTTACGTACCAGGGTTTTTGACGTACTAGTACACCTAAATTCTAACGCCCTCAAATCTAGTGAGAGAAAGCTGGTAGGCCTACATATGAAAGAATGGGTCTATGTGGTCAGTGTGTGCAGTACAAAAAAAATCCTGCAGCACACAGTGCATAATGAGAAAAAAAAACTTTGACTGTGTTTTTGGATTATTACAGCGACTTTGCACTGTATTTTCGTGTGGTATTTATTGTTGTATTCTAGTTTTCTTGGTCTCATTCTATAGAATGGAAGACATGTTACAGAAATTGAGATGATTTTGACTGATTTTACAATGAAAAGTACCTTGAAATTGAGCTCAAAGTAGCAGAAATGTTCGATTTTTACCAATTTCAAAAGTAAACAAATCATCCTAAGTATCCAATACACATCAACTGATGAGTCTAATATTCTCTCACAAGTGCGCTGATATTATTTATAAAATTTTTTACACTAATGCAGTTGTCTGCATAACAGTAAATCTTCTATTTTTTGTGAGAATAAAAATTCAAAGTGGAAAGCAAAAGAATGTAAGAGGGGCATTGGGACGTGACTAATGAACAGAGGAAATGTCATTTTAGTGCCAGGAATGTCTTTCTTGTTTATTCTGGACCCTATTTGGAAATTGGCATCTTTTGAAATTTGTGTGAAATTGGCAAAATTGCTAAATTCTGACCACTGTATTGGATAGTTGAAATCGGTAAATGGGTGGTTTCTTGCACTCATTCGATGGAAAAAATGGAGTTCTAGCGAAATAGTTATGATTTTTGTGGATTAGTATACTGGAATTGGCCAAAAATAGGGCTTAAAGTGGGCAAAATCGCCGATACATAAACATTGTCGAGACCACTAACTTCACGAGAGCATAGTTCCATAAGTTTTCCATCAAATTTCATACTTTTGGTGTCATTATGATCGGGAAAAGATTCTCTATCTTTACATAAGATTTTTTTTTTTTTTTGAAATTTGGGCGACCCTGAGAACAAGTCTCTGAGAGGGCCTGTCGACCCTGAAAGGGTTAAAATGCAAGTAGGCCAACCATTCCCGTTTTTTTTTAAGGGGGGGGGGAGGGTTGTTACAGGATATGTAGAAGCATGGTGTCTTTGAGCATACAACAATATTCTCTCTCTAGATTATTATTATTAACATGGGGGAGTGCTAAACCCATTGGGAATATAGTGTTTGTACATGTGCTATGAGGATGGCATACAGCTCAAGAGAAAAATACAAAGCCACAACAATTTCTGGAAAACCCCTATCACCATACTTCCATGTTTCAGTGACACACATGAGCAGACACCAGTAAGCAAATACAGTATACCTCTTCAAAGCCTTTAGGGCACAAGAAGATACAGTATTAGAAATTTATTAAGTACAGTAATGAATAAACACGGGATGCACCACATTTCTTTTATATAAACTCTGAGACTCAAGGCATGATCCTTGTTGTTAAATTAACGAATTTGAAGCTATCAGTGGTTTTGATATCTTTTCTGGCAATAATGAATTTTAGCATTCACTTTGTATAGCACACAACTGCAACAGGGCAACAAAATAATATGGTAATTTAAATTTTACAAATTTTTTCCTTCTACATTTCAATTTTTCATATACATCCCTCCTAAATATTTGATAAGGCAAGTCTATGATTTCAAAATCTATTTAAAGTGCAATAACATGTTCTGCCCTTACTCCTGCAGGAAGCATTCCTTAGCAAAGTAAATGAAATGCTTGTCAAATGAGTGAAAAGCTAGTGCAGGTCAAGATTCTGAAGGATACCATCACCCTTCCCACTGTTTTGAACATAGATATTATAGATACTGTACATAACTGTATATCTTACCGGGGAAACATCAATGTAAAGTGAATGTTGTTCTGCATCTGGTTTGAGACCTTCAACTGCATCTAGGAATTTTGGATCCCCCTGGTAAAAATGTGGCCATGATACTATTGTAGGAGAACCTGAAAATAAGTTTATCATTATGATTTTAAAAATGGTTTGTATATGAAAAAGTGGTTGGCAGTTTTCTACAGTATATATTTGTATCTCAGCAAGTAATCAAGCTACAAGTGTTTTAGATGAGCAATCATGCATGTGCCTCTGTGTTCATATAGGTCAGCTTTTACAACTCATCAAGAATAACTAATCTATATATTTTTTTACCATATTTGCATGTGCTGATGTTGAAGACGCCACCACCTATGCATGGTGGGCCTCCTACGCAGTAGCAGTCATTTTCCGGTTTAATGGATACATTAGCAAACACATCAGCCGGAGGGGAAAACCTGCAAGAGGGAGGTTTCAATCTATGCTAGAGCACAGCTCAACTTTGGCAAAAGATGATACATTACATTTTTAAACTTTTTAAAACATTCTGTCAAAACAGAGTGATCCTGAGGATAAACTCAATTCCTTGTCATTTTGGGTATTATATTACAACGAAATTCACAACCAGTACCCTGTGCCTGGTTTTTTATTTGCCATCTCTGTTTTGCAAACACCAATACATATTAAATTAGTTCAGTTCAATTTTATCAAAACTAAGCAAAAGTAGTCATTTTTTAAATCATTATCAGTGAATGAATCTGTAGTCTCTAATTAATGCCTAAATTTGTTTCCATGGAGTTCATACTAAACAAATGTACCAGTGAGAATTTTTTATATTCTGTATTCTAAATTATTATGTACTATGACTGAGTAAGGTAACTTTTATGAAGACATTCTGGAAAACCCTCCTTCAGTGCTTCCACACTGCAGCGGAGGTAGCAATGTTGTAGTCGGAGAGTAATCTGAATTTTGTCAGAACACTTCTGGAAAGATGGCAGTAGAACAGATGATGGTGAGTGTTTTTTTCTTTGGGTCACCCTGCCTTGGCAGGAGAAAGCCACAGAGTTAAAAAAAAAAATATTAAGTAATATGAATGGGAATATTGACTGTTTGGAGTGACATCTAAACTGTCATATCTGGGCACCTCTGCAAAGACAGTGATTGTGTGTGAATAGTGGTTAAGTGTTGAATGATGGTGAAAGTGTTTCTTTCTTTTTTGCGTCACCCTACTTCGGTGGGAGATGGCTGGTGTGTTAAAAATAAAAAATGAATGAACAACAGAATTACTGTCAAATCTTCCTTCCTCCCCTCCCCTCCCCTCCCTCTCAATTTAATATTTTCTTTCTATGGCAGCCAAAGAGAAAAGTTTACAGGCAGCTCCTATCACAAAATATAACCCCCTCTTTCCCAGTCTGCTCTACTGCTCATTATGCTTCAGCCTATCACACTAATTATAACCCCCTCTTGTAATTACAAACCTTTGCAGTTTTGCTTTAAATAAATTTTTCATGATTACTTTCTAAATAATGGATTTTGTATAGTGCAACTACCTGGAGATGATTTTGGGGGTCATGGACCAGGCCTCCTAATGTACTGCCTTTATCAGCCGGGCTTTTGATGCCAGCCACATTCAGTCCAACAAATGCACCACAGCCCAGCTGATCAGGAACTAACTGGAGGAACTTGTCTAGTTCCCACTTACGACAGCTAGGGGTCTGTTGGTAATTCCCTCATGCATGAATAGAGGGTGATGAAGTTTTGAAGATTTAGTACTGTTATGCCCACTGGGTGTATTTTGTATTGGTTACCAAGCTTCTTGGTTTCATGGGAAGTGAGTTTTGTATGTAGATTTGGGACTAGTCTCACTAGAATTTTCCAGCTGTAAATTATGATGTATCTTTCCGGACTATCCTCCAAGGAGTATAGATTGAGGAGGTTCAAGCATCGCCAATAATTTAGGTGTCTGATTGAATTTATAAGTGAAGTGAAATTTCTCTGAATATTCTAGATCTGCAGTTTTGCCTGCCTTAAAAGGGGCTGTTAAGTCCGGCTGTATTACAGCTTAGAGAGAGAAAATGTGACTGGAAGAGTATCATCATTGACTAGATATCTCTTAGTTTTTAAGGTTCTAGGTATCCAGCTTACCATTTCATTGCAGTTGTGATAATAACATTGTGATCTTTTAAAGTGGCATCTGAAATTATCACTGCTAAGTCCCTCATGTTAGTCTTTCACTCTACCAAGAAATTAAAATTTGTTTTATACTTTGTTAGTTTCTATTTCCTCAATTTTTCCATAGCGGAGTAACTGAAATGCATCCTCATTCAACATCATATTCTTGTCAGTGGCATACTGGCAGATTTCATTTTCGTTTAGAGGTTCGCTGTGGCCTCAATGGATGGCACTCTCATACAGAATCTAGCATCATTTGCAAAGGATGATACTGTGCCAGGACACAGTACTAGAATTTACTTTTTTTATTCTTTAATAAACTGCAACAAAGCAATTTCAACATTCCATCATTTTGCATTACTTTTATCATTGTGGAACAGTTTATAACACTATCGCATGTAACAGACAAGTTCTTAGTTTAAGCTAAATCAGGTATTTTACTGAAATGTTACTCATACATGTGATTAGTCTTAAGTTCTTTACCTTGTAAAGGTTAGGGTATTGGCAAATATTTTCTCTAATTATTAGTTTTAATAAATATTGCCCTGTAATATCCCACAGAGGAAGAGTGACCTAAAGAGAAAAACAAGTTTCTCTTTTTAAAATTAGTAATGTATATAGGAGAAGGGGTTACTAGCCCCTTGCTCCTGGCATTTTAGTCACCTCTTACGACACACATGGCTTACAGATGAAGAATTCTGTTCCACTTCCCCATGGCTTACAGAGGAAGAATTTTGATCCACTTCCCCATTGAGAATCAAGTAAATTATTCTAATGTAAAATCGAAAGACTTTGCTTAAGCCACAATGAAAGGAACTACCTCTGTAACATGTTAATGCACAAAAAGTAACCTACAGACATACTGTACAATACCTTACTTTTAGCATTTCACAAAAAGCACCAATACTCTACCTGAAGCCTTTTATGCCATCTTCTTCAACCTCTTTCCAAAAAGTAAGAGGAATTGATCGGCACAAATTTTCATTAAACATGTAAAGGACAGTATCTCTTCTTATACCAGGTGGGAAAGAAGATCCATCCGTGCCTTTAATTTTATTGCATTCGTCTGTTTTCCAGTATTTGAGCTCTCGTTCCTTGTTGAAGGTGTCAATAGTAGTATACTTTGCCATATCATTTACTCCAGTAAAAACATTAAGCAACCCATCAGTTGATCCATTTTTCTGTAAGTAGGGACATTCATTAATAGGATAATTAGCAGAGTATTATTTACCATTTCTTGTTGATAAATTAGACATGTGCAACACTTGGGTATCTTTAATGAGGAAACATTTTGCCACACAGTGGCTTCTTCAGTCCATACAAAGGAGAATGGTGAAGAACAGGAGGAGTTCGAGGTAATCAGTCCCTCAGCCTTGAGTCGATGTACTAGTCAGTCCATCAATCTTGAAAAGTATTGATGGTGGTGGTGGAGGACAGAGCAGGCAGGAATAAGTTTTTTCACTGTAAATTTTGTTTATTAAGCCATACAGAAATGTACTTAGCAGGACAGGAAGAGGATTGAAGAATAAAAGAGAGGGGAGGAGGAAAGAAGTAGCTAGGCTCCAGGAGTAGAAAGACTTTCGAAACTCATCAAAGGTACGTTAAAGGAATGCTAGGCACATGTCTGCTGGAAACAATAGCCAACTCACTCTTGCCAGCCATACAACTAATCCCGCACCACAAAAAAAATTGCTAAACAATAAGCATTCAATAAAATGGACCCCTATACAGCAGATATTGCCTAAAATAGACAAAAAAAAATCTGGTTCGACAAAGGCCGGGGGGTGGAATGAGGGAGAATGAGGGAGCGAGGGAAGAGAGAGGGGGGTGGCAGAGGAGGAAAGAGGGGAGAGAGATGAGATTTGGTTTGGATTTTTAACCCCAGAGAGCTAGACACCCAGGATAACCCAAGACAAGACAAGAAAGTTTAGGTAAGACCCTTATGGGGTGAGCAGGGAAGTGGAGATAGGGAAAGAGTAGACTGGCGAGAGGAAGGTTATGAGTAGAAGTGACAGTGCCAGGGCTTAACCCAGCAGCTAGGTGCTCATGGGACAGACTGAAGAAGCAAGAGAGGGTAGTCTGAGGATGAGAATGCATTGTTCTTAGTTGGTGGAAGTCTTGATTCTTGGGTAGCTCGCAGCAGGTTTGGTCGCAGGAGGGGAGGCAGGTGGGGACAACAGAGGCTGCTTAGTTGTAGGTGTTATTTAGCATGGGCATTTGAGGAAGAGCTGTTCTCAAATTTCTTGAAACTGGTTCTGGATAGGTGGTACAGTTTTGTTTTATTACCGAAAGTAAAATGGAGCGGTTTGAACTCCAGAACTTGGGAAAGAGTGAAATGGTGTGGAGTCTCATAAGTGAACTTAACAGACCTAGCACAGAGTCCTTTGTACAGTTCATTGTGTCCTTATTCAAAGATGTGCAGAAAGTCAGATTGTCCCAAGTAGGTGAGCTGGTGTAGGAGCCATCAACATCTTCCTCTCTTCCTCAGAAGAGGATACAGAGGGCAAGTCCTCAATAGTGCTGGCTGATTAATCCATTGCAGTAGTGGTGAAGAAGTCAATGGTGGCCTCTCATTGGTGGGAATTGGAGGAGTCTTGTCACATGAGGGTGGTGGCATTGTGGAGCTGCTTGAGAGGAGCTTACTGGTGTGGAAACATTGACATTATTTGAGGTGGTCTTGAGTATGGCTGAAGAAGGTGGGGAAGCAGGGTAAGTAAACTCTGGTATGTTACTCAACCTGAAGAGCTCACTAATGGTGGTGTTGAAGGTTCCAGGGAGAGCCATATTCTGCATATGGGCATACACCATACAGTAGTAAATTTTGGTTGGGTCACAGTCAGGTATGAAGGTGGTGCTGGAGGGTTGAGTAGCCTGGAGAAGTTTAGTGGTATCAGCCTGTAATTTAGTGATAGCAGCATAAGTGGAAGATCTGGAAGAGAACTACTTCTGTGCTGCTTCTTGAGTTCTTTCAATATTTCACGCTGTGTAGGACATTTTGCAGCAAGTGTGTGGTGGTTGCTCTTGCAATTCAGGTGAGTTGGTATTGGTGGAGTGGTAGTGGAGCATGTCTTGAAATCATGGCCCTCACAACCACAGGTCATGCAGAACTTCCTGTCCTTAATGGGGCAGTCCTTACTGCTGTGCATATAAGAATAGCAATTCCAGCAGTGTAGGATATGGTGGTACCTTTCTGCTTTAATATAAATGGGGCTTATGAAGTAATAATAGATGGGCAGACCCTCAGACACAGCAAGGGCAGCCATGGTTACATCAGTAAAAGTGATTTTTAACATGGATGAAGCAGTAGGAAATTTGGTAATGCACTCCTGGACTTCAATGGAAATCTTGAAGTCATCACTGGGTTGTGAAGTAAGAAGTTTGTTGAGTTTTCTGAGGAAGACAGTCCTCTCGGCCCTTAAAGCCGGAGAGGACGTGACGGTAAAGCCTTGGTCAGTGAGAGTGGTGGTGGTGGAGGCGAGTAGCTTATCAGCTTCAACATCATCGTTGCACACAACGATGAAGGCGTCCTGGAGTGTCAGAATAGCGTTAAACTTCACTTGCAAACCGCCCCTAACAGCAGCTGCAAGTGAAAGTTTTGAGGAGTCATTCACAGTTCCACTGCAAGGTTTAATCTTAACACGATTAGAGTAGCTTATCGTGAAGGATTAAAGATGATGACAATGAAGGTAAATGTTCCCCTCTCCAATGGGGATCATAGGGAGACTGTAAACATTTGAGTCAGAGCTTCTGTGACTGCACAAGCCGAGGTCTACAGAGCGAATGTGCTTGACCGAGATAACCCAAGAAAGTCTGTGCATCATCAAGGAACTGTCTGTCTTATTTCCACTAGGGTCCTTAAATCTTGCCCCACAGGATGCAGCCCACCTCAATCGACTATCACCCAGGTACCTACTCGCTTGCTAGGTGACTGAGACAGCAGGTGTAAGGAAACACATCCAATGTTTCCACCCTTGCCAAGGATCAACCCACAAACAGTGTGTGTAAGAAGAGTGTTGGCTACCAAGCCACGGGACACCACAGGGAAGGATAGATAGACAAGGGGGAGAGGAGAAAGGGATAGGAGAGGAGGGTTTAATAGGATAAAGGGTTATAGGAGGGAGAGAAAGGGGTAACTCCTTGTGTTCTCACCTGGGATACAGCCCACAACAGTTCACTAAACTTACTCCTAGGTAAATAGGGGCAGCAGGTGCAAGAGACTTTCCCATATGTGTCATCTTGCCTGGGAACTGAACTTAATCTTTTTAGTTGAGCTCAATGCTTGACTAATGATCTACAATGTCTTCATTTACATGGTAGAGAACAGCTGCCAGTACTCACTTGTATGAAGAATCCAAACTTATCATAAGGTAAGCGCTGCTCTGGAGGAATTATATCTTTTGCAATTCTGAGAAGTGGATCATCATAGCCCCACATCAGGTCACTAACAGTGCGAGAGATAAAAGGTTTTTCACTTAATACCTCTAGCATTGAAGAAAGGGCCAATTTTGCCAAGCGTTGTGCAAACCTCCACTGAGACACTGCAGTCTGCAAAATCAGAATATTATTCATTTTTCAAATGCTAATTTAGCTTAATTAAACATATATTACAGTATATAGTCATTTTACCAATCTGAATATGAGTTTATTGTAAATTATTTGTAACTAAGGCTTGAGTTATCTATTTTTTTTTTTTCAACAAGTCGGCCGTCTCCCACCGAGGCAGGGTGACCCAAAAAAGAAAGAAAATCCCCAAAAAGAAAATACTTTCATCATCATTCAACACTTTCACCACACTCACACATTATCACTGTTTTTGCAGAGGTGCTCAGAATACAACAGTTTAGGAGCATATACGTATAAAGATACACAACATATCCCTCCAAACTGCCAATATCTATAGTATAGTTATAGTATAGTATAGCATAGTTATCTATTGTATATAATAAACTAATTTTCATGACAAAGCAGGGTTACCTAAAAATGAAGAAAATTTTTTACTATCACTCATTCCATCACTCTCTTGGGAGAGAGGTGCACTTATACTATAGTTCAAAGCTGCAAATATCCCCACCAATTCTTCCAAGTGCAGGCACTGTACTTCCCACCTCCAGGACTCAAATCTGACTAACCAGTTTCCCTGAATCCCTTCATAAATGTTACCTTGCTCACACTCCAATAGCACATTGTCATAAAAACCACTTGCCTCCATGCACTCCTATCTAACATGCTTAACCCTTTGAGGGTCGACAGGCCCTCTCCGAAACTCGTTCTCAGGGTCGGCCAAATTTAAAAAAAAAAAAAATATTTTCTCTTATGAAAAGATAGAGAATCTTTTCCCGATCATAAAGACACCAAAAGTTTGAAATTTGATAGAAAACTTACGGAATTATGCTCTCGCAAAGTTAGTGGTCTCGGCGATGTTTACGCATCGGCGATTTTGCCCACTTTGAGCCCCATTTTCGGCCAATTTCACTGTACTAGTCGACAAAAAACATTAATAGTTCGCTAGAATTCCATTTTTTCTATCGAATGGGTGCAAGAAGCCACCCATTTATAAATTCAATTATCCAGTACAGTGGTCAGAATTTAGCAATTTTGCCAATTTCACACAAATTTCAAAAGATGCCAATTTCCGAATAGGGTCCAGAATAAACAAGAAAGACATTCCTGGCACTAAAATGACATTTCCTCTAGTCATTAGTCACGTCTCAAGGCCCCTCTTATATTCTTTTGCTTTCCACTTTGAATTTTTATTCTCACAAAAAATATAAGATTTACTGTTATGCAGACTACTGCATTAGTGTAAAAAATGGTATAAATATTATTGGTGCACTTGTGAAAGAATATTAGACTCACCAGTTGACATGTATTACACGCTTGGCACGATTTGTTTACTTTTGAAGTTTGGTAAAAATCGAACATTTCTGCTACTTTGAGCTCAATTTCAAGGCACCTTTCATTGTAAAACCAGTCAAAATCATCTCAATTTCTGTAATATGTCTTCCATTCTATAAAATGAGACAAAGAAAACTAGAATACAACAATAAATACCATACGAAAATACACTGCAAAGTCGCTGATTTATTAAAAAAAAATGGTCAAAGTTTTTTTTTTCTCATTATGCACTGTGTGCTGCAGGATTTTTTTAGACTGTGCACACTGACCACATAGACCCATTCTTTCATATGAAGGCCTACCAGCTTTCTCCCACTCGATTTGAGGCCGCTAGTATTTATGAGTACTAGTACGTCAAAAACCCCTACGCGTAAGACGTACTAGTACGACCAAAACCCTCAAAGGGTTAAACATACTTGTTGGATGTCAAAGCCCTTCACATTCAAAAACTACTTTACCCCCTCTCTTCAACCTTTCCTAGGACAGCCCCTACACTGCACTCCCTCCACTACAGATTTCTATGTCCTCCAAGTCATCCTATTTCGGTCCATCCTCTCTAAATGTTCAAACCACCTCAACAACCCCTCCTTTGAGTAACCCCACACTTTCTTCTTATCTCCAAACTATGAATTCTCTGCATAATATTCACAATACACAGTGCCTTCCAACATGACATCTCCACTGCCTCCAGCCTCCTCCTTACTGCAACATTCACAACTATAAGAGTGATGGCATCACTATACTCCATGGATATGTTCTTTGTCTCTGAAGATGCCTCAATGCACCACCCACCTTTTTCCCCCCTCATCAATTCTATGATTTATCTCATCTTTCAGAGACCTGTCTGGCAAAAAGTCAACTCCCAAATATCTGAACACATTCATCAGAACTGAAGTATTAAAATGAAACATGCATAAAAGATAATTTTTTGAGGATGAGTGAACTGACCAGCATGGGGATATTCAGTGTAGTTATTACATCATCTTCAGATCCAACTGAGCTCCCTCTTTCGAAGAAATAATGCTTTTGTGTTTCATATGATACTGTGCCATTGTCATGGAATGTAATGTTCACTTTCTCCCAGTGTTCTCTGAAAACACAAAATACAATATACAGTACAGTACATCAAAGACAAGCATTCAATACTTGCCAAAACATCACTCTTAATTTCACTTGTCTTATATTTCCTCGTAAACAGTAATACTAATAATAATAATCACAACAAGAGTACAAGCATACCTTGCTAATATGGGGGGTTAGGTTCCAGACCACCGCCGTAGTACGAACATCGCCTTAAAGTGAATCACAGCCTTTATACACTTGCCAGTGCATATACAAGCATAAAAATATGATTACACTATTACTGATTAAGTGCACAATAGCACTAGACCTAAAAAATGATGCAAAAGTAAAAATAAATAAAAGAAATGCATGCCGAAAACCATCTTCAGACTAAGACAAGTTCCGAAATAATAAACATTAATATTATCGAAAAACGCCATATTAGCAAAGCATTCTAAAGTGAAGTGCTTTAAAAGCAAGGTATGCCTGTAAAAAAAAATACTTTGTAAAATTTGCATTTAACATGGGTGAAACTAAGAAAATTATAGTAGTACTGTATAGCACAACCAAATTAATTTTGTCTTGTCAGGGAACAGCAGTTTTGTGACTTATGCAGTTTTCAGTTATCTGGACATTTAAATTTGATAGTCTATAGTATACAGAATTTTTTTATAGTAGTACATGTACTGTACTTGCCACATCCTCCACGTATACATTCTATAAATAATTATACAATCTGTCTAAGTGAAGTGTTATACAGGAGGACCCCTGTATCCGCAGGGGGGATACATTCCAAGTACATGTTGCAGATACCGAAAACTGCAGATAGTAGCGAACTCTATGTATAAGCCTATACATTATTTTTTTACTTACAGTATTAACACATCAGCCGTTTCCCACCAAGGTAGGGTCGCCCGAAAAAGAAAAACTTTCACCATCATTCACTCCATTACTGTCTTGCCAGAGGTGCACATACACTACAGTTATAAAACTGCAACATTAACACCCCTCCTTCAGAGTGCAGGCACTGTATTTCCCATCTCCTGGACTCAAATCCAGCCTGCCAGTTTCCCTGAATCCCTTCACATATATTACCCTGCTCACACTCCAACAGTACATCAAGTCCTAAAAACCATTTGTCTCGATTCACTCCTCCTTAACATCCTCATGCATGCTTGCCGGAAGTCCAAGCCCCTGACACACAAAACCTCCCATACCCCCTCCCTCCAAACTTTCCTAGGCCAACCTCCACTCAGCCTTTCCTCCACTACAGATTTATACACTCTCGAAGTTGTTCGATCTTGTTCCAACCTCTCTACATGTCCGAACCACCTCAACAACCCCTTCTCAACCCTCTGGATAATAGTTTTGGTAATCCCGCACCTCCTCCCAATTTCCAAACTAAGAATTCTCTACATTATATTCGCACCACACACTGCCCTCAGACATGACATCTCCACTGTCTCCTGCCTTCTCCTTGTTGCTACATTCACCACCCATGCTTAACACCCATATAAGAGCGTTGATATAACTATACTCTCATACATTCCCTTTTTGCTTCCATGGACAAAGTTCTTTGTCTCCAAAGACGCCTCAGTTCACTACTCACCTTTTTTTCCCTCGTCAATTCTATGATTCATCTTTCATAGATCCATCTGCTGACACATCCACTCCTAAATATCTGAATACATTCACTTCCTCCATAGTCTCTCCCTCCAATCTGATATCCAATCTTTCATTACCTAATTTTTTTGTTATCCTCATCACCTTAGTCTTTCCTATATTCACTTTTAACTTTCTTCTTTTACATACCCTACCAAACTCATCCACCAACCTCTGCAACTTCTCTTCAGAATCTCCCAAAAGTACAGTGTCATCAGCAAAGAGCAACTGTGACAATTCCCACTTTGTGTTAGATTCTTTATCTAACACATACCTATTATAAAGTTTAATTGATAAATTACGCACAGCAAGTGGAGAATTATCACTTTTTCACTACTGAGAAGCACTTGACGGCTTCTCTTAGGCTTTGAAGAACTTCCACCATCATTACTTTTGCACTCTGAGGCCATTATTAAGCAAAATTAAGGGTTATTTTCTGATCACGGTAAACCGCAGATAACTGATGGAACTGATGGGATCATGACAGAAATGTTAAAAGCAGGGGGGGACATAGTGTTGGAGTGGTTGGTACTTTTGTTTAATAAATGTATGAAAGAGGGGAAGGTACCTAGGGATTGGCGGAGAGCATGTATAGTCCCTTTATATAAAGGGAAAGGGGACAAAAGAGATTGTAAAAATTATAGAGGAATAAGTTTACTGAGTATACCAGGAAAAGTATACGGTAAGGTTATAATTGAAAGAATTAAGAGGTAAGACAGAATGTAGAATTGCGGATGAGCAAGGAGGCTTCAGAGTGGGTAGGGGATGTGTAGATCAAGTGTTTACATTGAAGCATATATGTGAACAGTATTTAGATAAAGGTAGGGAAGTTTTTATTGCATTTATGGATTTAGAAAAGGCATATGATAGAGTGGATAGAGGAGCAATGTGGCAGATGTTGCAAGTTTATGGAATAGGTGGTAAGTTACTAAATGCTGTAAAGAGCTTTTATGTGGATAGTGAGGCTCAGGTTAGGGTGTGTAGAAGAGAGGGAGAATACTTCCCGGTAAAAGTAGGTCTTAGACAGGGATGTGTAATGTCACCATGGTTGTTTAATATATTTATAGATGGGGTTGTAAAAGAAGTAAATGCTAGGGTGTTCGGGAGAGGGGTGGGATTAAATTATAGGGAATCAAATTCAAAATGGGAATTGACACAGTTACTTTTTGCTGATGATACTGTGCTTATGGGAGATTCTAAAGAAAAATTGCAAAGGTTAGTAGTGGATGAGTTTGAGAATGTGTGTAAAGGTAGAAAGTTGAAAGTGAACATAGAAAAGAGTAAGGTGATGAGGGTATCAAATGATTTAGATAAAGAAAAATTGGATATCAAATTGGGGAGGAGGAGTATGGAAGAAGTGAATGTTTTCAGATACTTGGGAGTTGACGTGTCGGCGGATGGATTTATGAAGGATGAGGTTAATCATAGAATTGATGAGGGAAAAAAAGGTGAGTGGTGCGTTGAGGTATATGTGGAGTCAAAAAACGTTATCTATGGAGGCAAAGAAGGGAATGTATGAAAGTATAGTAGTACCAACACTCTTATATGGATGTGAAGCTTGGGTGGTAAATGCAGCAGCGAGGAGACGGTTGGAGGCAGTGGAGATGTCCTGTCTAAGGGCAATGTGTGGTGTAAATATTATGCAGAAAATTCGGAGTGTGGAAATTAGGAGAAGGTGTGGAGTTAATAAAAGCATTAGTCAGAGGGCAGAAGAGGGGTTGTTGAGGTGGTTTGGTCATTTAGAGAGAATGGATCAAAGTAGAATGACATGGAAAGCATATAAATCTATAGGGGAAGGAAAGAGGGGTAGGGGTCGTCCTCGAAAGGGTTGGAAAGAGGGGGTAAAGGAGGTTTTGTGTGCGAGGGGCTTGGACTTTCAGCAAGCGTGCATGAGCGTGTTAGATAGGAGTGAATGGAGACGAATGATACTTGGGACCTGACGATCTTTTGGAGTGTGAGCAGGGTAATATTTAGTGAAGGGATTCAGGGAAACCGGTTATTTTCATATAGTCGGACTTGAGTCCTGGAAATGGGAAGTACAATGCCTGCACTTTAAAGGAGTGGTTTGGGATATTGGCAGTTTGGAGGGATATGTTGTGTATCTTTATACGTATATGCTTCTAAGCTGTTGTATTCTGAGCACCTCTGCAAAAGCAGTGATAATGTGCGAGTGTGGTGAAAGTGTTGAATGATGATGAAAGTATTTTCTTTTTGGGGATTTTCTTTCTTTTTTTGGGTCACCCTGCCTCGGTGGGAGACGACCGACTTGTTGAAAAAAAAAAAAAACTGAAATGGCAGATACTGGACCCGCAGATACAGGGGCCCTACTGTATATGGGGGAAATAATGCCAATGGTAACATTTTTTCGCATCACTCATGCTCCCTCATTTGGAATATGGCTGAGTATTGATGGTCCCAGTCAGGGCAGGAGAAATTTCAAAGCTGGGACAAATATAGAGATCGTTTACAGCCCATACAGAACCAATAAAGCATTTAAATTACTGGAAATGCCTTAAAGATTTAAATATGTACTTACTAAAGCAGAGGAGAGATACACATGATAATGTATACAGTGGTACCCAGAGTTTCGGCCATAATTCGTTCCAGTGCTGTTACCAAACGAATTTGTTCCCATAAAGAATACTGTAAATCAGATCAGTCCATTTCAGACCCCCAAAAATACACTTACAAAAGCACTTACAATAATACACTTACAAATTATCCGAGTTGGGAGCTGTACGAAACTCGGGGTACCACTGTACCTGGAAAGTACTTTAGGACCTTTCCCTAAATCTGCACACTGATATAACAAACTGGAGCGAGAGATATGTTATGACTTGGAAAATAAGCCCAATGAAAAGCAGGGGTACAGTGGGCACAATATTAATGTCTATGGTCCCTGACTATTCAACATCTTACCAGAAGATAGCAGAAAAACTGCTGGGACAAGTGTAGAAGCCTTCAAGAGGAAACTGGACATGTATCTTCACCAGACGCCAGATCAACCAGGCTGTGATGGATGTGTGGGGCAGTGGGCCACCAGCAGCAACAGCCTAGTTGACAAGGCAAATGCCAGATGAGCCTGGCCCATGGCTGGGCTCCGGAAGTAGAAAACCTCTCGGAACTCATCAAAGGTATATCAAAGGTATACTGTACTTCGCTATCAAATATTCTGTATTACACGAGGTATAGTCTAATCCTATAAATATGTGTTTAACTTGGAATCTAAGTTTAAAGCAACCTGTATAGCACTCATTAAATCTGAAATTCCTGGTACATAATTCAAAACTACCAAATTAAACACCTTTCTCCTAGAGTAAGACTAGGAGATAATTTGAGCTAGAGTTCACCACAGCCACGCTGGCGGGAGATTCATCTGTAAAAACTTGCATTTGTGGTTACGGTGGGGCGCATTTCCTGGAGGTCAAATAAATAAATATGTATGAATGTTATTGCAGCCAGCTGGCTGAGTGGCTTACGCAATGCCTTGGAGATTTACGACTCACTTGCTATGGGTTCAAACCATACCCACTCTGTGGTTTGTACACCCTACTTTAGTTTTTGCTGCCTGCAGTGTGCTCTCATCAACCACATAATATCATTCACTTGCCGACCCAGCCACGCTTTGCTTACCAGTGGCAGAGGGAGAAATTGAGTGATTTATTAAAGATTCTTTATTTCAGGGGTGAATGACATTTAGGTGTGCATGCAGAAATCCCCTAAATGTGCAGAACATTTTGGGAGAACTTAAACCTACCTAAAATTAATAGGGCAATAATTAATGACTGCTTATATATACAGTCTTTTAACCCGTAAACGGTCCAAGCAGATCTACGTTCATATGTGTAGTGCTCCAAAAGTAGATTTACGTTTTTTTTTTTTACATATTTAAAAAAATAGATCTACTTTTTTTTACATACTTTCAAATGTTGAAAAAACGTATATATACATTTGGACCTTTTACGGGTTAAATGGTTGTAAAAATAAAAATTAGGAGTTACAATGAATACATGAATTGATATTTAATAAAATTTTCAACTTATTGTTTCCACCTCACTGCAACATTCACAACCCATATTTCACACCCATATAAGAGCACTGGTAACACTACTCTCATATGTTCCTCTTTTTGCTTCCACAGAAAACTTCTTTTGTCTCCACAGATGCCACCTTCCCTGCCCCCCCCCCTTCCTCAACAATTCTATCATTATAACTGAAAATAAAAGTTTGTTAGTTAACACAATACATAATGAAAACTTCACTAACCTGTAACAATAGGGACCAACTTCCTTTAGTACTGGTTTTGATCCAGAGAGGAACTCCTCTGCATTTGTCACATTGAAAAAGTAGACAAGGAGGTGAGGCACAATTGGTGGGAGCTTCCATTTTTTGTATATATCTGTTCCATTTTGCAGGACAAGTTCCTACAAGAATAAAGGTGATAACTGTAATCCCCTGTTGCACATATGTATAATAATTTCAGTAATCCAATTTGCTCAACAACATACATTCTAAGCCTGTTTATGACTCAGCTGTAACAAGCAAATAAAATTTATTTAAATAAAATACAGGTATCTATTGCCAGAATCACTTTCAACAGATACTTCAAAAAAGAGAGAACTTTTTATTAAATTATTAGCAAGACCAGAAAATCGTATATTATGAAAATTAGCTTCATTTACAACAACAAAATGCTAACTTTTCTTCTATTAATATGAAATAATCAAGAAATACCTACTTAAAAATCTGACTCCATAATATATTGACTAATCATAAATACTATATTTTTATATTTAACAACACTCAAGCTCAATTATCTTTAGAAAAAGACAAGAACTAGTCTACAATCTCTACAAAACTATTATTTACTTATTATATTTTTCAATATAAAGGAGAGGGGGGAGATTATTTCCTAGTAAAAGTAGTCCTTAGACAAGGATATGTGATGTCACCATGGTTGTTCAACATATTTATAGATAAGGTTGTAAAAAGTGAATGCTTGGGTGTTGGCAAGAGGTTTGAGGTTAAAAGATAAAGAATCTAACACAAAGTAGGAGTTGTCACAATTGCTCTTTGATGATGACACTGTGCTTTTGGAAGATTCTGAAGAGAAGTTGCAGAGGTTGGTGGATGAGTTTGGTAGGGTATGTAAAGAAGAAAACTGAAGGTGAATACAGGAAAGAGTAAGGTGATGAGGATAACAAAAAAGTTAGGTAACGAAAGATTGGATATTAGGTTGGAGGGAGACAGTATGGAGTAGGTGAATGTACGTATTCAGATATTTAGGAGTGGACGTTTCAGCAGATTGGTCTATGAAAGATGAGGTGAATCACAGAATTGACGAGGGAAAAAAGGCGAGTAGTGAACTTAGGAGTCTGTGAAGACGAAGAACCTTGTCCATGGAAGCAAAAAGGGGAATGTATGAAAGTATAGTTATGCCAACGTTCTTATATGGGTGTTAAACATGGGTGGTGAATGTTGCGACAAAGAGAAGGCTGGAGGCAGTGGAGATGTCACGTCTGAGGGCAATGTGTGGTGTGAATATAATGCAGAGATTTCGAAGTCTGGAAATTAGGTGGTGGTGTGGGATTACCAAAACTATTATCCAGAGGGCGGAGAAGGGGTTGCTGATCTAAACATCCCCTACCCATTCTAAAGCCTCCTTGTTAATCTGCAGTCCTGCTCTGTCTTAGCTCTAATTCTTTCAATAATGACCCTACCATACACTTTACCTGGTATACTCAGTAAACTTATTTCCTTATAATTTTTACTAATCTCTTTTGTCCCCCTTCCCTTTGTATAAAGGAACTATACACACACACTGCCAATCCCTAGGTACCTTCCCCTCTTTCATACATTTATTGAACAAAAATACCAATCACTCCAACACTATATCCTTCAGTTTTTAACATTTCTGTTATGATCCCCTCAGTTCCAGCTGCTTTATCCCCTTTCATTCTATGTAATGTCTCATGCACCTCCCCCACACTTACAACCGGCTCTTCTTCACTCCTAAAAGATGTTATACCTCCCTGGCCAGCGCATGACATTACTGCCTCAATCTCTTCATCAACATTTAAATTCCTCAAAATATTCCCACCATCTTCCCAATACATACAGCGTACCTCCAACTCTGCATCGACTAACTCCCCTACTCTGATTTTAGCTGACAAATGTGTAAAATTATCATGTCTTAATAAAGGGGATTTACATATATGGTACAATACATGGGAGTAGAAAAAAAAAAGAAACAAAGAGCAGGATAAAAAATCTGCAAGCAGGTTTCAAGATGTGTTTGAATATAATGATTACTGCCATAAATCACATAAGGGAAATAAGGTGCTTTTAAACAGTAGTTTTGTATCAGTTGGCAGACAGGGAATATTTGGAATCTTCCGGAGGAGCGTTCCAAATTTTTGAGCCTGAGTACTGCTTTTACTTAGGCTGAGTTCTACATAGGGATATAAAAGAAGTATTTATATCTTGTGTTACATGAGTTCTGTTGCAGCTTCATTATAACATTCCTCATTTAGAAAGGAGTCTAATAGGCACGAACTGTAAAACTGAGCAAGAAAGTAATAAATAGGTCTAAATACTGGCAAAATAGGAGGTATGTAGACAGGTTTGCATTCCTAAGGGGATTATCACAACCCCAACACAAGTCATAACTATTAACTAACATTGCATTACTTTCAAATATTTTCAATCAGAAAACTACTGTACTTGCCTAATTTATAAAAGTATTGTAACAACGTACCTTCTTCACAATGTTATCTACAAATGTATCAAAGGATCCTGCAACAATACTCCCAAAAACAACCAGTAGTAGTCCTAATGCCCCCAAACATCCTGGAAAAAACAAGAATACTCTGAATACAAATAAAACAAACAAAAATATATAAATTTATATTTAGTTACAACATATATATACCATCAATGGTGCTTAGTGATATTCAACCCACAGTATTTAAGTCAAAAGATTCTAGCCTGTATTACAAAATCCCAGTAGATTCTCTCCAAACTGAATACTGTTTTCTATGAATAAACAGAAAGATGGACTGGGAAGATTGAATTGCAGCCCTGGCATTTTGAGACAGATGAGGATAGATTTACTGTGAAAGCTGCTGGAGCTGTAAGAGTCAGTCAGTTTGGGTCACAGTTGATGCTGTTGATGGAGACTTTAATAAAAAACTTGGTTTCTGAATATTTCCTATTTAGAAGCACCATAGCTCACCAGTAAAACACTGGACCTTCCAATCCCAGGACCACTGTTCAATCCCGTCCATTTTTGTTTATTCATTTACAATCATTTAATATGACAAACTGAGTTCACTGAACTATTGCCTTATGAGGGGAAGGTGCCTCTGATGGGAGTGTAGAGCTCTTGAGACAAATTATTGGAGTTACCCTCCCCTTACTTAGATCTAACCCAATTGTCTCCAATTCCCCATGCACTGTATGACCTAAAGGTTTACTAATATCCATGAATATTATAATACTTATACTCAGTAGGTCATGTTACTAATAATTCTACATGGAGATATCAACAGAAAATTATCTTCCATAAGACAATCCTGCCTATCATTAATTTTATATACAAAAAGGATTTATGAAGCAAAATCTGTCATTTCATCTCACATTCTCACCACATATTTTTCCAGGAACTTATGCACAGTATAGTTTACCATTTTCTTTCAAGCTATTAATTACAACTTTTAAGTACTCTGCTTCTTAAGCTTTAAATCACCTACTCCTCTTAAACAGGATAAGTGGAGATGTCAAGCACATTTCCTCACACATGATGCTCCTACTCTTTTAGCAGTAAATACCTGTAGGTATCCAGGTGTTGGTCGACTACTGTGGGTAATGCGAGAACTTTTAGAATGTACATGTATAAGCAAAATGAAAAAAAAAAAACTCCATTAACTTATCTGACAAACTTTCCTCACATGACTTTGCACCATCTCAATACATTAACTTTTGTCACATTGTACTGTAATGGTATCTTAGTTCCAGCAACATCAAGGGAGGTGCATACTATTATACCATTCTGTCGTACAAGTTTGAAATGGAAGCTCATTAAGAATTTTACACTAAAAACTTATACAGCCTCTTCTCACTTAGTGACGTACTCGTTTACCAACGCCTCGGACTTACGATGGGCTCTCTGACCAGTATTCATGCCAAAATAATGTATATTAGAGCTATTCTGTTTATTTCAATATACTGTACAGTACACTACTCTATAAACATTTAAAAATATACCAGAAATGTTATAAATAGTGCAAAGGTGATATTAAAACAATATCAAAGATGGTTCACACAAACCCACTACCATTATAGTATGGTCCTCACTTAGCGATGAATTTGTTTAACGATGTGGTCTTAGGAACGGAAGCATAAAATGCTGATAAGAATCCTTTAAAAGATATGCAGTCATCAAAATGACAGTAACCAGAAAGTCACGTATCCATTAACAGCATGGTATTTTTTTAATTGAAGCTCTTTTCTTGTCTTGTGGACAACTGAGAATTGGTCGGTCGGTACAAGTATTTGATACAGCACATATTTTATAACTACATGTATTTTGTGTTTGATAAGCACACTTACATTTTGTATTTAATAATAACCAGAATATTTTATGTACTAGTACATAGAAAAACTGATAATTATAAATTAATGTCAGGAAATCATAAATATTTTCTTACTTAATCAATACAAGAATTTAAAAACCTAATTAGGCATATAATTCTTTTTCCAAGCAATTTTTTTTTAAACCTCATGGAAAAAAAGTGGGTTACTCACTAATGTACCAATCCTAGAATCACAAATGTTTCTTGGTCTCATGAACATTTAAGATAATAGGTAAATCTTACAAACTTTACTTATATTCAGTGTGCTTTTATCTTTACTTTTCTTTATACAGTAGCTTTCAGTCCATTAGGTTTTCTTCCCAATTTAGGAGTTCTGGTCTGACACCTGGCTACCAGGGCAGTGATTCCTGAACCATTAATTAACAGACACCATGCCAAAAAAAATATATACATATACAGTATATAAATCGCCACATATGAACCAAATGACCTTACATAAAGAAATACAATGATAAAGAAACACCCAAGAAAAAATTCATTACCAAGTATGAAAAAAATTTCACCACAGAAACAATATGAAACATGCCACATGCTTTAAACTAATACATGTATACATATATTACACACAAAAATGTAACATTTCTTTGTTTATTAAATACTAGCTATTATTCATACCCATGCTCAACTGATTAGGCATGTGGATGGATAAAAAATAAAAAGTTACATCTATAAACTACAAAATGAAAGGAAAAAACATGAAAAACAACAAAAATGAAGTAATGCTGTTAAGTGAACATACCGTCCCTTAAATATATTAAAGCTACAAGTCTCATGAACAATGGTCAATGAACTGGTAAGTCCCACATGGACATAAAATCAAACACAAAGTAAATAGGGGCTTGTATATTTTGACTGTGGAGCACCTCCTCATCTGAGGATGGTCTCTGACTGAAGCCATAATATAAAAAGGTTCTTTCTACTCTACATTATATTTTCCATCCACATGAGTTTACCTGCTCATAGTGGTTAAGCAGAGGGGATACAAATGGTCTGGCCAATCATATCCCCGACATTTTCTTTGAACATGCAACTGTATCAAATTGTATCCATTACACAATTATACTAAAACTGCAACTGAGCTGTAAACCCAACCACTAACTTCTATATATATGTTTTTATGAAATAAAGAATTTCCATTTCATTGTTTCGTGTACCCCAAGCCTATTAACTCAAAAGACAGCATTTATGAGCACTTAAACAAATACATACCTGTACTACATTAAAATAAACCACAAATAATATTTTTATATTATTAAACTATGGTATTACATTACATAGTAAGAACAAATATTTATTAAAGAATTAAGAATTAATTATTTGCCATAAAAATATCTAAATTAAAAAATGATCATGAATGCTAAGTGTTACAGCCCCAATACAACAGGATAACCCAATAAAACTGTCATCTAAGTTTCTAGTCTATTTCCATTGGGGTCTTTAATTCTCTCACTTCAAGATGTGACCCATACCCATCAGCTAACACCAAGCACTAACTACTTTTTTCTGATAAACAAGTTTGGCCAGAGCAGGTAAAGTGAGTATGTATAGCTTATTGCACCTGATAAATCATTTAGGAACTGGCTGAAGTACTGTACAGTATTAGATATAAAAAAGTGCACACATTATATACATGCTTGAAAATAGCAAGGCATTCAGTATGAAAGTGTTAGAAATGCTACTGTATTGCAGACTGCATCATCACTATTAAGACAGCACTGGACAAGATGGAGTCAACAAAGGTGGTTTGCTGAAAGTATGCAGTTGCAGAAACAGTAAGAAAGTTCAGTGTTTTTTTCCTACATGAGATGGGGAGGACTGTAAGGGTGGCATATTATACTGAGAGGGAGGGTTTATAGAATATAAGAGCTTAACATATTAAAGGTGCATGTATAATGTGATGAAGTGCTTTCACTGAGGACATAACAGGGATAAGGTTAAGAGGAAAAAGACAATACTCAATACTGTACTCCTTGGAACACAGATGAGAGAAATATCATCTACACCTGGAAAATTCTAGATTAGTCCCAAATCTGCACACACAAATCAATCATTTCCCATGAAAGTAAGAGGTGCTGCAAACAGTGCAAAATATTCCCAGTGAAAAGCAGGGGTGCAATGAGTACACTAAGGGAAAACTCAATAAGTGTGAAAGTACCAAGACTTCCCAATACTCTCCCTTCATATATATGGGGGGTTACCAGTAGACCTCTTGCTGTCTTCAAAAGATCTTGACAAGTTCCTCAAGTCAATCCCTGATCAGCCAGGACTGCAGGACATACGTTGGACTTAGTGTAACTAGTACCAACAGCCTGGTTGATCAGGCCATCCACTGGGAGGCCTGGACTGGGACCAGGCTGCAGGAGCATTGACCCTTGGAACACACTCCAAGTAAACTGTACTTATTGAAGATGAAAATGTGTGTGTAAGCCTATTTGTAGCTACAGGAGAAGGGGTATACTCATGGTGTCGTCTTTAATAACCTGCTTATCATTCAGTTTTTATAAAATTTCTATCCTCGTGTAATTCATTCCATTGACTTCCATTCACTGTGAAAAAATTTCCTAGTCTCCCTTCAGCTCCACTTTCTTCTCAATTCGTAACTGTGGCCTTTTGTTACCCTTATTGCAGGTGTGAAAATATCCTCTTTTATCTAATCTTTCATGTCCTATGATCTTTTGTGTAGTTATGTCTAATAAGAGGAAGACAGGCTCCCTGTCTTCCTCCAGTTGGCCAGCCTTTCATAATTAATACTGTATTTTCGCTGGTAACCATTTTGCAGGTCTGCTTTGGACCTTTTCTAACATATCCATGTGTTTTTAGGGAGTGGACACCATACTACAGATTCCGATTTTGATCTAATTAGATTAAATCCACCACCCACACTCACACTCATGAGGTGTTATGTGAGCGAGTTGATCTGTCTAGCATGGGCCAGTAGGCCTGTTGCATTGCTCCTCACTTACGTTCACATAAACAGCTTTTCAAGTATTTTCCCATCCATATAGTATTTAAAAGCTATTTTATAATTTTCTAATGCATAAATCCCTCTCACCATTTCATTTTTATGGTTTAAAGCCTCATGGATTCTCTATACTACTGTACATTACTGGAATGACATCAGTAACGCAGTCTTCACTAGCTTACAATGAGAAATAAGACTATCTTCAAAGAATAAGAAATGCCTCTGCAAGCAAGAAGGAAAATACAAACAGAATGAAATGAAGCAAACAGAAAACAAGAAAATGAGAGATATGCAGAACAATGTGAAGCAGTGTTTTATGATACTAATCATATATATATATATATATATATATATATATATATATATATATATATATATATATATATATATATATATATATATATATATATATATTATATATATATATAAAAAGATAACCACTTCAATGGTCTTCAATGGACAACTGCAGCCAATCAGCATACTTCGTTAATTGTCCATTCATAATTACTGACTTTAAAAAATGTTTATAGTAACTTTATTAATAAACATTGTTTAAAAGTATCACAGTTTTTTGTGCATGTGGGGGGGGGAGGGGGAGATGGGGAAATAAGATGATCTGATCATTCTGAATGTATGTACCAAAATTCTTTGATAAACATGTTTGAAATGTAAGTTTTGCCTGAGTTCAAGTCAGATATTACAGCTGCTATCTATATTTTCAGAGCTGTTTACCCAACCAATGTTTTTTTAAAATACAATAGAGAGAATATATACTGTACTTATTGAGGGGCTCATTTGTTCAGTATGGAAATGGTTACCAACAACTGGTTTTAAAAAAATCACCAAAGCAAATACTAGGGCATATGTATTAGAAAATGCATGTCTTATATTTATTTGCTCACATGTCTTTTCAAACCAGACGTTCAGTCCCTTAGCCTTGCTATATATGAGTTACAGTCGGCCCATAATGCCTAGGCATAATAGAGGCTCTCTTTGCACTGCAACCCATTATTGTAAGTACATAATCTCAATGTACTATTTGCAAAGACATAAATAAATAAATAAATAAATAAATAAATAAATAAATAAAATAAATCTAGGGTAAGAAACTGAGGATCTTCTATCAAGGGTAAGGGTCTGAGCACCTCCAATTTACCTGTTCATTTCTTCCAGTCTCCAGTATATATTTTAAGTACTGGATTGAAGAAGTCACTGGCTTGCAAAAAATGTCTCTAATAAAGATACCCAGAAGTTGCATGTCTTACTTGTCAATTTATCGGTACTGTATACCTTTAATGTAATGATGCTTTGATAGATTAGTTAAGGAAAGACATCCGATAATAAGGGAACAGACTTTTAAGAAGGCAATGGAAGATGCCTTTTTACCCTACAAAGAACTCCACCGAAAGCTTCAACATTCAGCCAAGTAGAAGTCCATCACAGATTTTTTTTTGACAGCCAGTACCTTAGCCACCATCACAGCTGGCACTTCAGCTAGCAGCTTAGTCACCAAAGCCAATACCTCAGCCACCACCTTCAGAAACATACGGAATCTTCCTCCTAACTTTTCATGGAAGATCACTGGAACTTCTAGGAATGTAATAATCACAAAATTTGTTTACTGAATACCGAGTATTGTGTGTAAATTGCAAGTGCCACTGTTATTAATGCAAGTTCTTATGTATTATAACATTTATGAAGGGATTCAGGGAAACTAGTTAGCTGGACTTGAGTTCTGGAGATGGTAAGTAGTGTCTGTACTCTAAAGCATGGATGAGGAAATTGTTAGTTGTGAAGTATTTCCCTCGTTGGATCACCTAGCTTAGCAGGAAATGACCACCGTGGTAAAAACTTTCATTTTAATTTAAATGACTGTTAGGAAAAATATATTATGTGCCTCTTCAATCTTAAATAGCCAAAATACTGATCATAATATTTCAAAAAAACTTGCTTGATAGAAACTTAAAGGATCAGATTTGTGATCAGTATGTCAAAGCTAGCTTAAAACTACAAATCTGAACTGCAAAAATAGTTCAATTTTGTTGACATGTTATTATTACTGTTATTATAATGCACAGTAAATGCCTAATTTTTAAAAACTGAGCAACTTAGCTCAAAATGCATGAATATAACCCCAAACATAGGTGCAACACATAGTCATTAAATTAATTACTTTAGTTAGCTTTAAAAATAATTAAAATGATACAAAGAATAACAATGTCAACCTATTTTCCTTACAATGACAAGCAATCATTCAATTACTGTAATGATATGTGACATTAAAGAGAAAACGAGGGGATAAGCTCTTGTTGTAGACACTTTTAGCCAAGAGAAAAGCTGTGTTCATGCACTTATTCATTTTGTTTTAACAAATTTAAATAATTCCTAGATTTTTTTTTAACACATTGGCTGTCTCCCACCAAGGCAGGGTGAAGTTCACAGATATGCCAGTTTAGCTGTCACTCTAAACAGCAAATATCCCAAACCCCTCCTTTAGAGCGTAGACATTATATTTCCCACTTCTGGGACTCAAGTCAAAATAACCAGTTTATCTGAACCCCTTCACAAAATATTACCCTGATCACACTAACAGCTCATCAAGTCCCAAAAACCATTTGTCTTCACTCCTATCTAACACACACATGCTTGCTGTATGTCCAAGTCCTTTGCACACACAACCTCTTTTATCCTCTCCCTCCATCCTTTCCCAAGACTACCCTACTCCTCCTCCCCTCCACTACAGACTTATACACCCTCCAAGTCATCCTATTTTGCTACATCCTCTCTAAATGACCAAACTAACTCAATAACCCCTCCTCAGTCCTCTGAATAATACCTTTAGTAACTCCACACCCCCTCCTAATTTCCACACTACAAATTCTCTGCATAATATTTATGCCACACATTGCCCTTAGATACCTCAATGCACCACCCACCTTTCTTCCTTCATCAATTCTATGGTTTACCTTGTCCTTTATAAACCCATCCACTGACAAGTCTACTCCCAAATATCTTATCACATTCACTTCTTCCATACTCCCTCCCTCCAATATGATATCCAATTGTTCCCTATCTATGTTCACTTTCAACTTTTTTCTTTTACATGCCTTCCCAAACTTGTCCAATAACCAATATAAATACACAAATGATACCATAGCAACAATACATACATGCCAATCATGTCTTATAAGCTTTACTCTACAAAACTCTTATTCACTGAGGCAATAGTTTTGTTACACAAGCTCCCCATGTATTTCAACGGCTTTTAAGTGTTGCAGACTTATTGAAAACAAACCAGTGTGGTTAGCACAGGTTTGCAATGAGACGAGTCCCAGAGTTAAGGGGTATGTCCTATGAGGAGAGAATAAGGGAAATTGACCTGACAACACTGGAGGACAGGAGAGATAGGAGGGGACATGAAAATGACATATAAAATGCTGTACTGAGAGGAATCAACAAGGTGGACAGGGATAGGATGTTTCAGAGATGGAATACGCCAACAAGGGGTCACAATTGGAAGTTGAAGACTCAGACGAGTCATAGGGATGTTAGGAAGTACAGTGGACCCCCGGTTAACGATATTTTTTCACTCCAGAAGTATGTTCAGGTGCCAGTACTGACCGAATTTGTTCCCATAAGAAATATTGTGAAGTAGATTAGTCCATTTCAGACCCCCAAACATACACGTACAAACGCACTTGCATAAATACACTTACATAATTGGTCGCATTCGGAGGTAATCGTTATGCGGGGGTCCGCTGTACAGTGGAACCTCGGTATACAACCAGACCAGCTCCCTACTCGAACATTGCTCAGCACTCGACCAAACAAATACAACCTGCCAGAACTTCACTGTAAACTATTTCATGTTTCTTTGCATTTTTTGGTGTTTTTTGTATTATCTGTATAAGTCACCATGAGGCCTACGACGATTAGTGATAACAGCCAACAAAACAGAAAATTGGTTGGGAAGAACTTGTTCGATACTCAGAGTGGCACTCGAACAGCCTCTTGGGATGAATTAAGGTTGCATGCCAAGGTTCCACTGTATTTCTTCAGTCACAAAGTGGTCAGGAAGTGGAACAGTCTGGAAAGGGAGGTGGTGGAGGCAGAATCCATACATAACTTTAAGAAGAGGCATGATAAAGCTCACGGAGCAGGGAGGGAGTGATCTAGTAGTGACCAGTGAAGAGGTGGGGCCAGGAGCTATGACTCGACCCCTGCAACCATAATTAGGTGAGTAAAATTAGGTAAATACACTGGTCTGTGAGTTTTAGGACTCACCTGCCATGGGTTCAAGCCCCACCTGTTCTGTGACTTGATTCTATATATACTGTACATTACTGGGGTGACATAAGTAAAGCAGTCCTCATTAGCTTACAATGAGAAATAAGACTGTCTTGAAAGAATAAGAACTGCATCTGCAAGCAAGCAGGAAAATACAAATAGAATGAAATGAAGCAAACAGAAAACAAGACAACTCTTAAGCTGTGTTTAGTGAGAGGGCAATGTAAAGTTAAAAAAAAAAAAAAAAAAAAAAAGCAGAACAAGGTGAAGCAGAGTTTCATGAGATTATATCAGAAAATGGATAACCACTTCAAATCCCCATGGTAGTTCTTCCATGGACGACTGAGGCCAATCCCCATACTTCCTAAAATGTCTATTCATAATTACTGACTTCAAATAAGCCTCAAAAAGTTTATAACAACTTTGTTAATGACCATTATTTAAAACTATCACTATTTTTTTGTGTAGGGGGGGAGAGAAAATGAGGTTTATCTGATCATTCTGAACATTACACATGTCTGAATTTACTCAGTAACATTGGTTCCCATGATCCCAAACAGTATGGAAAGTAACTGGTGCAGCAATGGTGCAATGAAAGGATCGTAAAAGTGCATAGGACTTTGTGATAATGAAGGGATGCGCAGTTATTCCAAAGTTTTAAGTCTACCTGCTCGTTTGCCCATTAGGACCTTTATTATTTTATGTAGAAGTCTGCTTGCCTTCATGTAGGAACCTTTAACTGCATACCAGCAACGCCAAACAGCAAAGATGCGACAGCCTGAGAGTGTAACAAGAGATTATAGAATTTCAAGTCCCAGGGAATTAGAGCTGATGAGCATTAGACAGGAGAAAAAGTCAGATTCAGATACTGTAATTTAAAACTTTTAATATACTAGTACTGTGCTCAGGATTCTGGTTTTAAAGTACAGCACAGCACACAATGCTATATTAATATGGTTTGTATTGTAATGTAACACAGCAGCAAACCTATAATATGGAGCTAGTCTTCAAAGAATGTCAATACAGTTTAAACAATTTTTATGCTGTCTCTATGTTATAAATGTATTTGTGCTATTTTTTAATAAGATGACAAGACAAAGTTATAAACCTTCCTTGTTGTTCCTTGGAGGACTTCTGCAAGTTTTTATCAGTTGACATTAGTGTGGAATCAATATACTGTACAATATGTCACATCAGTAGTTAATGTTTTTGCCCTGTGCCTACTCCTGACAACTTCATATCTGACCCAATAAATTGATAATTATAAATTATAAAAAATATTTACAGTATAAGAATAAAAAGACATGCTTACAATGATATTTAATATTCTTCTACTACAATGATTACACGTTGTGTTGTGTGTGTGGTGTGTTGTGTGTGTGTGTGGGTTTTTTGGGGGGTTTTTGTGTGTGTGTGTGTGTGTGTTGTGTTTTGTGTTGTGTGTGTTAGATATATTTTATATATATATATATATATATATTATATATATATATATATAATTATATATATAATTATATACATATTTTATATATATATAATATTAAAATATACAATATATATAAATAATATATATATATATATAAATATTTAAAATTATAATAAATATATATATATTATATATACAAATATATTATATATACATATAAATTTTATATAATATATAATTATATATACATATATATATTATATATACATATTTTATATTATATATACATATATATATTATATATACATAAAATAATAAAAATTTTATATACTTTATATATTATAATACATACATAATATATTTTTATAAAACATATTATATATTATATATACATATAATTATTTATAAAATATATATATATTATATATAAAATATTATATATATTATATATAATTATATTATATATAATATATAAAATATATATATATTATATATACATAAATAAAATATATATTATATATACATATATATATATTATTATATAAAAAATATATTATATATAATTATATACATATATAAAATATTATATATACATATATAAATATATTATATATACATATATATATATTTTATATACATATATAAATTTTTATACATATAATATATATATTATATAATATATATATATTAATATATATACATATATATAAATTTAAATTTTACATATATATTATAATAAAATATATATATTTTAATATAATATAAATTTTAATTTTCATATATATATATTATATAACAAATATTATTTAATATTTCATAAAAAAATATATTAAAATATAAATTATATATATATTTAAAATAATAATATATATTATATTATATATAATATAATATATTAATATAATATTTTATATATAGTTACATATATATATTATATTTATATAAAATATATATATTTATATATAATATATATATATATTATTTTATAATATATATATATATTTATATATACATATATATATATTATATTAATATATTATATATATATATAAAATTATTATCAATATATATATATATATTATATATACTATATAATATTTTATATATATACATAATATATTAGTATTATATACATATATAAAATATATATATATATACATATTATATTATATATAATATATATATATATATATATTATATATACATATATATATATATTATATATATACATATATATATATATTATATATACATATATTATATATTATATATACATATATATATAATTATATATACATATATATATATATTATATATACATATATATATATATAATAAAACATATATAATATTTTAAAATACATAATATATTATATTATTATACATATATAATATTATATATACATATATATATAATATTATATAAAATTTTTATATAATAATATAATATAATACATATATATATATTATATATACATATATATATATTTTAAATATATACATAATATATATATTATATATACATATATATATATTTTATACATATATATATATATTATAATAATTTTAAAATTTTAATATATATATATATATATATATATATATAAAAATATATATAATATATAATATATATAATATATATATATATATATATAATATAATATATATAATATTTTTTTTTCTCCAACAAGTAGGCCGTCTCCCACCAAGGTGGTACCTGTTTAATATATAATGTTACCTTAAGTTGCATGTCTCATATACATCTGTGGCCAAACTTCCTCAAGCAGTTAGACATGTAGCTCTAGGAGCTGTAGCCAAACTTAAACTGTTAAACAAATAGTAGACCCAGGAGCTGTGGCCTTACCTATTCAAATAGCTACAGAAGCAGATTACACACAAAATTAGGGCAGGGAGATAAGACAGGACTCGCAGCGATTTACAAAGGTTTTGACAATAGGGTTGTGGATGAGTGAAAAAATGCCGAGTAGTGCCTCTGAAGCGTGAATTCTGGGTAACTTTAAAAATAGGGTGGACAGGTACACGAATGGGTGAATGAGCTGGGCCTACCTTGGTATGGGCCAGCAGACCTGCTGCAGTGCTCCTCCTCTCTTACGCGCTTAAGAACTGGGTTGTGAACTTTGTCTCGGGTCAGCAACCAGACTTCTTTGCCACTTGTACAAAACTTAGAGTAAGTGATCGATAGGTGTGTGAACGCAAGACTTTTTGGAATATTAAGATTTGGTTTGGCTATAATTTATTCCTAAAACTGTTTAATATCAGGATACAACAATCCTGTGCAAATGTATGAAACGTAACCTAACCTAATGAAACCTAACCATAAGTAACAATCTTACTCCTCCAGCAGTAGATATGGGAGTGTTTACATTTGATTCGTCTTTGCTGCTGCCAGGATTGTCAATGGTAACCACCAGTTCACTGACGTGCAACACCTGAGTATCTCTTATCGACAATGTTGTTGGTAGAATTACCTACAATATGTTAGGTAAAAAGGACACGTGTGCAATTAATGTGACATTTTACTGTGGCAACGTTTCGCTCTCCAGTTTTGTCAAGGGACACAGAGGGGTATATATAGGTATAAGTGAGGTGCTTTTACCTAACATTTCTACTGTCGACAATCAAGATACCCAACACTATTGTACATGTCTTATTCCATCTAATTAAGTGTTGAATACCGTTTTCATAAATTACATTTGTGCTATATCCCAAAATAATTGTCATTTTTTTGCTAATATCTCCCAAAATAATTTATATAAAAAAAATTGTGCCGGGTTATAGATAGCATATCTGCCAATTTTTGTTATCTTTCGTGCAGATATATAATGTTTTATATTTATATTCCCAATTTGGCGACCTGCTTTTTTTTTTGGATTTTGTTGTATCTAGAAGTCCTGCCTCACCTCCCACTTTCAGCTTGAAAAATACAGTAATGCACTTTAAATAAAGGCTGCTTCTGTATGCATAATGACGTCTCTTAAGGGAAGTTCCTTGATGCTGGTGAGGGGCTCGTGATCCAAGGAACTTAAGGGGTCCTGTCCTTCCTTGGATTGAACCTGCAAGTCTCTACTTCCCCCAGGCGGCGTATGACCCCTACGGGTTTAGCACTCCCCTACGACTGTAATAATATAATCATAACCGCTAAACCCATAAGGGTCATGAATGTAATAATAATAATAATAATGTATGACTACGGTAATAAATGCACTCTATTTTATTGTTTGCTGTATACGTCCAGATTTTATTTAGTGAAGTAATGGCGAGATCAAATTTAAGTAAGGTGTACAACGGTATGGTTACCACAGAATGTATTAAATATAACTCATCATCGTTGTATGACCTACAATTTGAGTAAAAAATACACGGTATGTAATTGTTTTATGTAAACCATCGTATGACAACAGCATAAACACTGTAATAAAGACGGGTATATTCAAGGCTAGTCAACAAAAGCACACATTTCTGGCCTTCAAAATAAAGTTTATACAGTGGATGATGTTGGTCCTCCTTAAGAAAGTATTTCTCAGTGTTGTGGGGGAGGCTGACACCTCTCACAGGTAACATGATTAAACACCATACTCTCTACCACTTTGACATCTTTTTCTGGTATGGTTAACAATCACAGTATCACTCGACACACATTTTCCATATACAAATTACCTAAGATAACCACACGGCGCATAGTAAAAATACTATCACAGACGGAGAGGCAACTGAGTGCGCCCTCCCTCCTTCAGCTGCTGAGGTGCACTGACTGAGGGTTTCCCCCGTACCTTAGGCTCTGATTGGTAAACCCCAGCGGCTTCTCAGCCAATGGGTGGCCGTCTCCCACCACCACAACAACATCCATTATGGATTAGAAAGTTTGTGGAATCCCTAAACGTTCTTTCTTCCTCATCTCGGACACTCATTTTGCTACTTTTACTCACTAGTTATTGTTACAAGATACTGCCTCAAGAAAAAAGCTTAAACATTTAAGCCTAGTAGTCAACAGAAATTGCACAAACACAATTTGGAAACTAATAAGGTGCAAACAAATGAGTCAAAAGACTAACATATGTACACATTTTCAAGGCGTCTTCAATGCATATCTTCTAAAATTTATTCAAGTGAAGGCACAATAGTATGGATAGCTACTAGAGAATAACGAAGCATGGCAACAAGTTGCAGCCCCAACTCCCCTAAGTATCCTCTGATTGCAGGTGAAGGTTCTGGGAGCTTCAGAGATTCCATGCCCCTGGGCTGTACCGAGAAAGATTTACCTTATCATCTAGAGACCATAAATGGGTAGACAAAGCGCTGATTCAAGTGTGTTTGCTATATATAACCCTAGGGAAAGATAGGACTGCATACTGGAAGATCCAGTGCTTTCCCTGAAGGGTAAAAGTACGATGGGAGATTGAGTGTTCGAACCATCTTAATCAAGAACTTTACTATTCCTCGCCCAGCTGCCGGTGAGGGTGGACGTTTTTGCTACTCTCCCTCTACAGGCGCAGTGCTAGCCAGGCTGTCACAATGGTGGTTGGGGTGAGACGCAGAATTAACACTGTCGGCATAGAATTACTGAGAGGTACAATTAATCAAGATTCGGCGTTGACGTTGTTGCCTCTGATTATTCGAGAGACATATGGAATCGAGGATGGCCTCACCCTGTTAAACGCTGAGGTGTACCTTAAATGGAAACTACCGAATGTTCGTGAAACTGCTGTCATCACACGTGAATGAGGATCTACTTGCACAATATGCAGGATGTTGCTATCGAGGTTACGAGGGCATCCTGGTAAAGATGGTCGATGTTTCGGAGTCAATTTACTTATGTAAAGTTTACGTAAATGTTGCCTTTCGAGCAAATGAAGCGACCTACGTAGTGTGTTCGGGAAGTTTTGGAACTGTACACGTAGCTTCAACCATCAAGTGACGGCAGGTTCTTAGTGGGTTATCCGAAGGTATTTTTTAACCTATAGATGACTCTGAGCATCCATACCTTCGTATGTGTTTTCTTAGATGAATTTAGGACACAATACTCGTAACATACGCTGGCCAACGTAGAAAACGTTTAGACTGTGTGATTGTTATGATCACATACGGCTGAATGTGTGCGGCGGAGGACTGGACATGGAATACCAAAAGTGACATAACGAGGCCGAGGACCGTACGTGACAGATTCTGAACCGCCAGAAATGGACGTAGGCGTGTCGGTTTGTGAGTGATGAAGTGGAGGAAATGCACCGTGAGTGGAGCATGAGGGTGCATCAGCAATTGAGTGCGTCTGATGAGGATGTGATTCCGAGCGGACAAGAAGTACCAAATGACGTTGAAAAAGACGTAGTCGCTTGAGACAGTTTTGCAGGAGATGATTCCCTAAATCGAGGAAGCCTTGACAGAGGTAACGACGGGGAGACCAGGTACAGGGACAAGGGGAAGCATGCGGGTCTGAAGGAAAGGAAGAATTCGGCTTGGCCAAGAGTAGTGAGAAGGGAATGAGTGTGATAGAGGTGGAGGTGCACAATGAGAAGGTCAGAGACTAGCATGGCGCAGATGAATGTCGAGGATAGCGTGCAGCTGTCACTTCTGTCTCGTATGACGGTCCTCACCCCATCACAAAGACCATGGAAAAAGGCGGGAGTTGAAGTGTGTGGTAGAGGCACAGATTAAAAGAAACGACTCCAGCCCGGGGTTTAGGAGTGAGGGGATTGGGTTAAGTGCCAAGGACGGTGTGTAAAGAGGTTACTTGGACGCGGAAAAAAAGTGGTGTGGAAAAGTGGTGGAAAACTAGCAGCAAGGTGTATGACAATAATGTTTAATGTTATGTGTAAGAGTGGTAAGTGGGTGATGTATGCGGGACTGCTTATCGTTATAAGGTAGAAGTTGTCTTTTATACCAGAGCATAACTTGAAAATAGTAAAAAAAAAAAATTGCTGGAGTGATAGGATATAGTGCATTGTAACTCCCAACGACACGTTTCCGAAAAGGAGGGTATAGGTGTTTGTCAATTCGAGAGTCAAGCCCGTTTGTTTGCAAGGTTTTGAGGGGGGGGGTGATGGAATTAATAATGAGAGTGGACGGGTGGATGGATGCGTGAAACAGCGTGTCTTTGGTTGGAGTGTATGCTCCGGCTTAGAAAGATGCGAGGGTAAAATCGGCTTTTGTAAGGATGATCTGGTTGTATTTCTGAGAGCACTGCCCCAGGGTTGCATTGATTGGGGGAGATTGGAATGGTCTAATACGGAGATTTGATGCGATGCCAGCGGGGCAGGATATTTTTCAAACGTTTGCGAGACCCTGTGTAGAGAATTGGGGTACGAGATTCATTTTGGGGTGGAATAGTATTACGTGCAACATACGTACGTAAGGATGGAATACGCAGCTAGACCGGATAGGATCTATATTAACGCGAAGTGTTTCCAGTGGAGTCTTTAACACTATAGAAGCAATTTAATCAATCACAGGGCAGTGGTGGAGGGGGGTACATGGACCTCGTTATGTGAAACGGTTTTTGCAAAGCTACTTGAAATTAAACACGCTACCTCCTTGAGGATGAGGAAGTGGAGGAAGGGTTTGATTCGCTGTGTGATGAAGCTAAGTGAGGAGCAAAAAGGGTTGATAATGTTTGTACGTTGGGGGACAGTGTGGCTCAAGGAAGATACGGTAGGTTTTTACGTGGGTGAGGGAAAGCGATAAATCGACTGAAAGTATGGAATTAACAAATTATTTGGAAAAGTAGAATTAGGATACTATCCTGAACAAGAGAAGTGGAGGGAAATTCCAAACAGAGCAATAGATGATCAGAAGAGCAGGATAAAAGAGGCAGGAGGATAGATTCATGCGTGCGGTGCAGGCGGGTGTGGATGAAGTGCTTTGGGGGATCATCCATCGGCAATGTGTGTTGAGGAGACAACAGCAAGGGGACAGGCGACCACAATAGCCAGATTTGGAAGTGCACACGATGTGAAAGGGTAGGGAGGGGCAGTGTTCAAACAACGGAGTGATGAGTATATTCCCGCGATGCTTGGATTGTGGCATTATAGGAAAAGTAAAGGAGTTAATAGAGATGAGCTTGATGTGGTGTGTCTGATGAGCCCGTAGCTCTGGGTAGTAAGGACAGGGAAGCTTTGTGTGGGGATAATTGAAGAGTGGTAGATATGGAGAGCGCGTGTATACATTGCAGAGCTAAGCACCAAGGTTATTGATGACTACGCAGTGATTTTAACTTAAAACATTGGATCAGATAAGTGATTTTTTAAGTAACGCTGTTCAACAGAATGAAAGAGGGGGGAATTGGTCGAGCAAGCAAAAGATACAGGGGACGAAGTCTTTGCCCACGGTAAGGGGCAGATACACATAAGGATTACAGGGCGATTAACTTCCTCATGTGTGCGGACTATAAATTGTACGCGAAGATTTTGGGGAATAGGTTAAATGTGTGGTGGACGTGTATTTCAAAAAGGTCAACTATGGTTGTGCCAGAACGGTCGATGGTCATGGCAACGGAATTCTAAAGGTGTTGTTGAGAGATTTTGAGGGACCATGAATGGATGGGTATGTGTCGATTGATTGGCAGGGTGCTTATGATCAGGTGGAAATGGGAGGTTTAGACAGATCCTTAACAAACAAGGTTTTGGGATAGATTTGGGGGTGGGTTTGAAACGTTGTATAAAGGGGCCAAAAGCAGATTCAGATCAATGGACGAGTGGAGGTGTGGTGAACAAGGAAATGGGCTTGAGGCAGTTGCCCGCTATCACAGTTATTATTCGCATTGTGCAGATCCAATTTATAGTTGGTTGAGACAGATGTGTGAGGGGTGGGGTCGGAGGGAGGCTTGATTAGGCATCATGTGGTAGTTACGTGGGATGTACAGCGACACTCCCTAGTCCGGAAGGGACAAGATTGGGAGAGTTTTTGGAGGGGTGGTTGCATTTTTGGAGGGCGACAGGCATGACGGTAAACGTTGAAAAACAAGATCATGGGCCTAGGGGAGTGGAAGACAGAGTTGATTGGGACTGTGATGTGGTGAGAAATGCTTAAGTCAGTTAATGTAATATGTGGCATTTCGTATAAGCGAACCATACGGAGCTAGGGAGGCGATTCGTTGAGAATGGTGGAACGCGTGGAACATCTGTTGGGGATGTTGCGTCTTATCACTTGACAATGTTGGCAACGGGCGATTGTTATTACGTATGCTGTACAGTAAGGTATGGTTGAGCATCAGTTTTTCCATTGCAGAGAGACTGACCTTACTTACTCGTATCCTTATAAGTGTTTTAAGTTCTTATGTGGCTCAGGGATGTGAATGGATGTAGAGGAGAGGTGGTGACTTTGCCGGTGAGGAAGGGAGGTTTAGGTCTTTGGACCTGGGAAGGAGGTTGAAATGCATTTTTGTCAGGTTGGGAGTGGCAAATATTAGGGGGACAGAGGGGGACATGCATGCAAAGGTTACATGATATTTTAGAGGAATGTATGTGGGTGGGGAATGGAGTGAGTGAGAGATTTGTTTGAGGTCACTTTTGGGGCTCGCGAGCCAGACAAATAAAGGTGATGGATTTATATCGAATATTGAGGGTAGAGGAGTACGGCCCCCAGTTGAGGGGCTGTCCCGATGTATGCATGGGGGAGCAATATGAGTCAGATCGGATAAAGCTAAAGTTAGGGCCCAGGTGCCGAGGAGATCATGTTTAAATTTTTA